GCTGCAATGGTTAGTGCAAGACCATCTGCTTTTACCAAAAGTGTAACAGACACAAAGTTGTCTTTAGGTATCCCTTACTAATCCAAAACGGTAAGACAAGGACAAGTGACCTATTTTAATCAAGATGTGTCTGCCTCTTAAAGATGCAATGATACTATCACAAGTCAGGCTGCATTTCTCCTCTTGATGTTGCATTTTGAGTTGTATGTTACAGAAGTTACCAGTTATCCAGCTAACACATTTTCAGTATATTTAACAATGCTGAGTAAAGGAAAGCACAAAATGAAGTATGAACTATGTCTACTTCTGCCACTAATTACGTATTACTTGGTCTTTCAAACTTGGGTTTCTGGATATATAAAATAAATTAACCTATCAGATGTTCATAAAATAGAGAAGATTAAAATAAAATCATGGAGCAGGGGCTAGTAAAATTGTTCAGCAGATATAGGCACTGACTGCCAGGTCTGTCACTCACATGAAAGGAGAGACCAATGCCCCCAAGTTGTCCTCTGACTTCCAGGCATGTACGCATACTCATACAAGTAACATTTTTAAAAAGCATTTTAATACATGAGGAGTATGTTTTCCAAACTATGTATGTCTATAATTGAATATTCAGCAATGGGGATATAGTTACATTGTAGCATATATGTTTTGAAACACTCCAGTAAGTCTGCCTTAGACTGGACATTTCTACAGTATTAAACGTAAGGGAAACACGGTGAAAACTTATACGTATCTGTCCTCTCAACAGTAATGAATTGTTTTTACAAATAAGAAGGAACTAAGTAAATCATGTGTGAAAGGTCCTCATAGTTTTAGTTTATAGTATTGCATACTGGACTAGGTCATTTAAATCACCTCAGTAACTGATTTTAAGTTTAGTATCTAGCAAAAGCTGCATTAATAAGTAATGGGCAAATGAGATTAACTGAATAACTGGTAATTGAAAAGAACATATAATTTCATTTTAAAGTAACCATTTATATTAAAGTTTCAAAGTATTTTCTCTTTCTGATGAAAAATTAAGCAAGTCTCATATAAAATTACTGCATTCTATGAAAATTTCAAAGACTATGCCTTTCTACAAATTCTTTTAGGTGTAAACTGTACAATTACAATTATCCACTGAGGGCTCAAGCCTACAGGCAAGAGGAGAAACATCAACCATCCACTTAGTTTAGACTAACTTCAGAGTATCTTGGTCCCAAATTTCCAATCCCCCAAAAAGAGGGCCTTTTTATACAAAAGTCATGGAACCATCAATAATCCAATTGCAAAGACCACTTGCTGTTTTACAGAAACATAGGCAAACATTTTAATTAAGAGGTGCAGGCAGTGTCTGGCCATGATACAGGGCACTCCCACATGCCTCATGCCAGCTGCAGAAGAGCAACATTCAAGCAGCTGACTTAATTGGAGATGCAAACCAGCACATCCTAATTTGGCTGGGTCGACTAATTGGGAGGTCTGCACGTTTCTAACAAAACCCACCCATATTACAGATGTGCTCTCTATCAGTAAATGACTGGTAGCAAGCACTAGCGGAGCTGAAATAGGCTCTACTTGGTGAAGTCAGTGAGTTCCACAAGAGCACCATAGCCAGTAACACAACATCCGAGAAGTGCCACATCACGTTTGCTGCAAAAAATGCAGGACTTGGGCCTTCTCTCTTTAGAGTCTGATGTAAACCAAAACATTTATAGCACTGTGCAAAAAAAAAAAAGACAGTTATCAGTAATGAATGGTTAAGAAAAGGGGGTGGCGGAGAAGGCCCATACATCTGCTGCCTTTCGCAGCATAAAACAAAAATTACTCTTTTGCTTCAAACTGGAAAAATATATGAAGCAATATTTTCTCATCTGATAACAGTGCCCCCTTAAAGAAATGAAACAAGTGGTTGAGCCCCATGACTGTCATCACTACAGCCTGGAGAGATTCTCTGAGGTGGTGAAGAGAAGTGAAACTCAGCCTAGCTATTCCTTCTGATCTGAGGATCCGGTACACAAACATCAAGTCATTACAAATAGTTTATATGTCTAAGGGTATAGATGACCACTTAAGAAGAAATAAAAATAAAATAATGATTTATTAAAAATTGTAAAAAAACATGATTAATAGAAAGCAAAGAATGAGTTAATAGATTTTAATCCAGCAGATTTCAATTCAGATTATTGGCTCCTTTACATGTAAAAGAGAATCTGAATAGTTTATAGACACTAGTTAATGTACTTTCTTAAAGCTAATAAAAGGAAATGAATGAGAATTATCAGACAATGGCAACTATTCTAATGCTTGAAATGGGCTCACAGTTTCAGAAAGATCAATTCTTACAGAAATGGGTGAGTCTGACTACCTTAAATCAGTTTGCAGCCCAGGCTGGCCTTACATCCCTTGCACTCTCCTCTGCCTCTCAAATGCTGAGATTACAGGGATAAACTATCACTCTATTAGTTAACTCTAAACTTTAGTGCCACAAACCATTTAAACTCAGTAACTTTGCACAACCTGTGGAGAAATCAAATGCCATCTGTTTGACAAAGGTGGTGCCAATGATGATTCGACTGCTCTGTAAGGTCAATCTAAATATAATACAATCTAAATAAAATACAGCCACAAATCAAGGTTGGTTAAATAATGAAGCATCTTTGGTTATGTGGACAAATTCTAAAGATAAAAGTTCATAAAGAAAACTCAAATTAGGATGGCAAACTCAACGTGACTGTCATGTGTACCAACTTACAGCAACACTATGTAAAGTTAACATATTTTAAGGCAAAATTGGAAATGCTAACTTGTCTAAATTTATGTAAAATTGGAATATAAGACATTGAAATAAAAAATGCTCATGAATTAAACAGACTGAAACCAGTTGTTGATGGAAAATTGATCTTTGAGAATATAAAAAAATATCCTGTCTTGTCATTCTCCACCCTGGCAAGTCAAGGCTCCCGATTTCCTCAGAACACTCCCTTCCAAAACAGTCTGTTACCTTTTTTGAGCTGCTGTGTTGACGGCTGCCACTTGCTGCTGAACATATTTTGAGAAGTTTGTTTCTTGCAATGGCTCTTTCTTTGACCTCTATCACTCTAAACTAAGCGCATAGCCACCTCTATTCTTGGCCACCTAAGACTTAGGCTTATACTGTGATATAACTAATTTCCTAGAAACTCTTTATGTTTTTTAAAATCTCTTTACAAATTTGGACCCAATTTAAGAATAAAATTATTTGCTAGAATACATTTTTTCACTATATATTTGTATATATATATATATATATATATATATATATATATTCCTAGGCAGACACCAGGCAGCACCACTGAGCAGGAGACCACATATGCATACATTCTCCATACTTTTCTTTAGCTCTGCTCTCTGCTGAGAGTTGCTCTATTCAATCACTGAAGATGGTCAACATCCTCGTCAACTGTGTGTAGGCAGTGTGTAACTAACAATGAATACAATCTGATATGTCACACTTCTGAAGATGAATGAAACAGATCTTTGATCCTCTGCAATAACAGACTGAAAATAAAATGTTTTCTAAGATTATGTCTCTAAATACAGAGTACTCTTGTTAAATGGCAGCAATTTTAAAAAATAATTTATGAAGTCTCTAGAGAGTTTCCAGTACCTTTGGTATACTAATAAGGCTCATGCCCTCAGGATAACCATGACTAAATCATATTAATTGGTTCTACATTATATTCCACCATGACAGTGTTTTAATTACAATAATAAAATTTTAAATTTTAAGCGGTTCCTACTTTTCCTAAGGTTATCTAATATCCCTAACCACACGCCAGAGGTCAAACCTGAGTCCTAAGGAAGAAACATGAGAAATGGCCCAGTGGATAAAGCACTTACTGTTATTTCTAAGAACCACAGTTTGATTTTTAGCATCCTGTCCTGAAACTAGCTCTTGTAGACCTAGGCTGGCCTAGAACTCACAGAGATCTGCCTACCTCTGCCTCCTGAACTGAAGGCGTGTGCCACCACTGCCTAGCTATACTTTCATTTCTTTTAAGACACAAAGAACCACAGCAAACAAGACACAACCAGAAACCAAATTTTTCCTTACTTCTTACAAGTTTACTTAAAAGTTTTCAAGTATTTTATATTTAATCTTAGTCATGCAAACTGGAAAGGAATTTCTGTGAGAACTTATTTTTCAGAGCCAGCAACAGTCTTTAAAGAAATAACCCTCCTTTTTACATAATACCTCATCCTTTCAGAATATGAACCCCAGTGTAAGTTCACAGACAAACACAACTCATTCTTAGGTAGAAAGCAATGTGACTGAAACAACGTATAAACATACAAGCATCACATACCACATCTAGAAGCATGAGCACTACAGATAGTTAGCACACTGATTTACCAAGGAAATGAACAGCACTGATTATATAGCTGCAAGTTTAGGAAAGTCAACTGAGCGACTGTTCGCGTGTCAGAATTCAGGTACAGACCAAGTGTGGCTAACTAACACAAAAGAATGAAGCAGCGTCCCTGCCACACATGCTAGTTCCTGTTCCAGTGGCTCTCAATCACATGTTTTATGTGTTGAAAAAGACTGAAATTCAAAATATTTCAGGGTATTTTTAAAATAAGTAATTTATTTTAGTAGAAAATGACAAAATAGTTACAATATAACTCTTATTTTAACTAAATGTCTCATTAAAAGTCATTTCAGTCAAATCACAATAATTCTAAAATGAATTCATGAACTTTTCAGAAGATTAATAAAAATTTCTAAGTTAAAAAAAATCATAATCTTAGCATTCAGGATGCTGATGTAGAAGGATCCCAAGTTCAAAGCCAATATGCTAAGAATTTAAGACTATATCTCAATTTTTAAAATTTTTATATTAGACATTTAAGACGTGTTGTTAGCAATATGGAAGGCAGATTCAGCATTTATAGCATGAGAGGAGTGTGCCACTTCAACTGGCTATACCACCGTGGTGGTCTGGATTTAGAATGTGAAAACTTACTGATTGCGCTGGAAACCTGGTTCAGTTTATCCTGGGACCTGCTGATTAGGACAATCTTCATTCCACGCTTTGCTAACTGAAAACAATAAAAGAGACCTGAATCACATCTGTGACGTTTATTCTAAAACAGAAATTAGATATATTCCCATTTAAGAAAACCTGACCAGGTGGTAAGTCAAACTTCAAAAAAAAGTATCAAGAGCTGGCAATCCAAACGGAACACTGGTTTCCCAGAACCCTAAGTTTCTAACAAAGCACTAGAATCTCAAACCATTTTGGAAGAATGATGATTTGTACTTTTTTTAAGCCTAAATACATGGTGTGGGCTTTTTTCACATTGTTAGATGTCCACAACTTCTGTAATTTCAAATTTAGGATTTGAAAAGCTGTCATAGGCTAGATACATAAAACAGGTATCAGTGGGCCAACAAAGAAAACTACAGTCAAAATGTCATCACTTCCTATAAATACAATCAATCTTAAAATATGTATTTGGGGCTGGATAGTTAATCTTCACTCTCAACTGCATTTGGAATCCCCATGGAAGCATATTTCGGGGTGTGTCTATGGGAATGACTCTGGAAAAGTTTAACTAAGGAGAGATGCCCACAGGAAACATGGGCAGTCCATCCCTTGGGCTGGGGTCCTAGGACCACTGTTAAAAAACTGAGCACAAGTAGTGCTACTTCTTGACTAAAGATATAATAGATAACAGAGGTGTAAGATAATCAGCGGCCTTGAGGTCTTCTGTCATGACTTCTCCGCCTTCAACTGGAAACCAAACTAAGCTTTCCTTAGGTTTTCTTTGCTCAGGTATTTGTCACAGGAATAAGTAACACAGACATTAAGATTAAAGGGCAATCAAGATAAAGTACATTAACTATTGCTAATGAATACATTAACAAATAATTTCTTGAAGAGAATCGTCTATATACATATGTACTTAACAGAGTGACAAACATTCACAGTGATGTACCCTGTCCCAGAGACAAATAAATACAAAGGTAGTACCAAAAAGTACAAAACTTTGTGCTGAACTATCAGACAGTTTACAAGTGAGCAACACTCTGGGTAATATGAAACAGAATTGATTCAGTACACTAATTCCCAGTTATAAATCTGAAGTCAGCTTTTATTAAGTAACAAGTAATATTGCAAATGAGGCTGCAGAAGATCATTTTTTTATAAAAATAACAAGGCCTGGTAATTCGCTAAATTAATCTGCTATAAAACCACTGAAGAATCCATTAGTCCACAGTGATACTTTAAGAAAAAAGAGAAACAACAAAGGAGGAGGTGCAAGAAAAAGCTCTTATAGAAAATACCAACTGAGCATGATGGGTCATGGCTGTAATTCTATAGGGATTACAGTATTGAGGTCAGCCTGAGCTACATAATAAGTTCTAGACTAGGTTAGGCTACAGAGAAAGATATATTAGAAAAGCATATTTAAACTTTACAGTAAACTAATTCAGGCAAAATCAATGGGTGTGAAAAACCCAGTAGCTAGAAATTAGCTAGAAAATATGGTATATAGTCCCAAAGTATGCCATATATTCCCTATTACTAATATAATGAAGAATTGTGATAACACCGTAATGAATTGTCTGCCTTAACACCATCAATATGGAGCACATCAGTGTGTTGAGCCTCTTGGTAGGATGAGGTCAGAAGGATTAATATCACTTTAATTACCATTTTTGCTAAATATGTTTGCGCTGAATTTAATAATGAGACAAATTCAATTTTGTCTGCCAAACGACAGCCTTGCATTTTTCAAAGTGTCACTTTATAAGGAGCTGAGAGTACACCAAAGTAGTAGAGCCACTCCACTCCCTAGCACAAGGACTGCAGCCAGCAAGATGGCCCAGTGAGGAAAAGCACCTTCGCAAACAAGCCTGCTGACTTGAGTTTGATCTCCAGGACCCGTGTGTTAGAAGGAAAGAAACCCACAAAAGTTGTCCTCTGACTTCCACAAGTATGCTGTGTGCATGTATCTATAAACCTACATACACAAATAAATAAATGTGGGCTAGAAAGCTAGCTCAGCAGTTGAGTATACTGCTCTTGCAGAGGACCCAAAGTCAGTTCCCAGAATCCACATTAGGCTTCTCACAACTGCCTTTAAGTCTAGCTAGAAGATTCAATGCCCTCTTCTGCCGTCCTGTGTGGCATAAACAGACACACACACACATACACACACAAATAAAAATAAATTAAAGTCTTTAAAAATATGTACTCTGGAGGCAGAGGATCTCTGTGAGTTTGAAGCTAGCCTGGTCCACATAGAGAGTTCCAGGCTAGCCAAGGATACACAGTGAGATCCTGTCTCATAAATAAAACAAAATGAATGTAATAAAATTTTTATCAAAACTACTATTTAAGAGATTATTTTTTTCCTTATGTTTAAAACAGACTCTGAAAAGCACTTACCTCTTCTGCATATGATTTTCCAATTCCATCAGTGCCACCTGTAACAACTGAGACAGAGAAGAGGAATAGTTTAGCTTAAGAACTACAACAAGGAAGTGGTCCAGCTAGAAAACACCAGCATGCCCAAGAACACTAGCACAATATTTGATGGGAAAAAGCAATATCCAGGGCTGGGCATGAAGCTTAGTGGTAAAGCACAGGACTTCTCATGCACAAGGCCCTAGGTTCAATTCCTGTTGCAGAATACTTGATTGCACTGTGACACTCTAAAATTGTTAAAGTTAACCTTGAATCAGGGGGAAAAGACAAGCTGACCATAAAGAATTTGGAGGACCCACGATATGATACAATAGAGAGACGTAGGAAAGGGGAGCAAGTGGCTTAGAAAGATTTACTTGGAGCGGCTGTAGTGCACACCTTTAATCCCAGCACTTGAGGCAAAGGCAGGTGGACCTCTGTGAGGTCGAGGCTAGCCTGGTCTACAAAAGCTAGTTCCAGGACAGCTAAGACTGTCCACACAGAGAAACCCGGTCTCATAAAACAAAACAAAAACACAGAAACAAAACAAAACAAAAATATACACTTATGTTTCAATCTGGGAAGGGGTATCAGTTGGTCATTCCTCTGCCAGTTTCTTGATCTATCAGGTTTTTACCCCAATATCTGACTCCCAAGTTTTTATGAACAATAAAACTTAGACACCTTAAATTACTAGTGAAATAAATAAATATGTAAATAAGCAATACCAGTATTCAAATTTAGAATTAACCGCTCATCACATCTCAAATTGAAAAGACCAAGACCAAAATATCAAGTGCCGGTGAAATATAAAGAAACTGACAGTCTCCCACTTTCCAGAAGTACCAGACCGGCACAATCCTTTCGGAAAAACTATTCGTCAACAAGCTCAGTACTAAAGATATGTCTGCTTTCTGAGGCAGCAATCCTCAAGAGAAGAGTGGCTGGCGCTCATGGTAGCTTTACTAGTGTTTGTGCTATCTTATAATAAAACATAAACATTAACCTACAGGAGAATGAGCAAGTGAACTGACGCATAGACAACGCGTAACTGACAGCAGTGAAATGAACTGAGACACATACAACACACGAGTGTGTACACTAAGTGAAGAACATGGGGGATACTCTTTTCCTAGTGCCACTCAAAGGAATGTACATTTATCAAGTGCCTGCTCAGTCACCATCTTTCCAGAAGCTTTTAAATCTTTTTAGAATAAAAAGTAAAAATGAAGAAAAAAAAAACCAGGAACAAATCTTCACATACCTATGGCCCAGTGAACCAATGATCAACTTCATATTAATCTTTAGTTTGTCTATAACTGCTTCCTCCCACCTCAGATTTTCTATCTGATTTTTTAAAAACTTTGTATGTGCACGTGTGTGCGTGCATGCATGAGTGGAGAAGCATGTGTCTGTATGTGTGAGACAGAGAGAGACTGTGCACAGATTGCTCATAGTACCACAGTACATGGATGGAGAAGCATGTGTCTGTATGTGTGTCAGACAGAGAGAGACTGTGTACAAAGTGCACATGGTACCACAGTACATGTGTGGAGGTCAGAGGATAACTTTCAGAAATCAGCTCTCTTTTCTTTAAGGGTACTCAAGTTTGAACTAAAGGTTTTCAGGCCTGGGGGAGGGGGCAACCAAATGCTTTTACTTGCTGAGCTCAGATTTCACCCCAAGCCCCCCCCCTTTGTTTTGGTTTTTCGAGACAGGGTTTTTCTGGAACTATCTATATATATATATAAGCCAGGCTGACCTCAAACTCACAGAAATCTGCCTATGTCTGCCTCCCAAGCACTGGTATTAAAGGTATGCACTACCATTGCCCAGGCTAGATTTCCAAGTTAGTCCCAAACATATTAATTCATGTCAAAATATACATAAAAAGGCAAAATTAGTCATCAAATTTCTGCAGTGTCTCTCTGTTTCTTCCCCTCTCTTCCTTCCCCCCAACTCAATTTAATGTTGGACATCCTACATGTGGGTTTCTGCTTTCTCAGTCTGTCATTTGCTGACTGCATTCCCCTGATATAACATAACATGTTCTTCTGTTCTTTGGAAGTTAGTGGGAGATAGATAGATACTTGATCAAGTTCAGGTTTAATATCTGTGTGTATGTGAGTGTGTATGTGCTCATGCGTGTTTTATTACTTCATTAGGTTGCAAAAGTGGCATCTAATTCCATAATTTGTCCTCATCTACCAGCGGAAATATCTCCACGGCTAATTGGTAGCCATAACATAGAACTCGGATGTAAGCACAAAACATATACTTAACTTCTCCCATTATCAATTCTCAAAAGAGACTGCCTGGTAATTAGCAGGGTAATCCCTCTTTTCTTATTGATATAGCTTTGTAAAGAACATTCACTCACGGGATCTGCAATGAATGCTTAAAACTCTCTATACGAAATGGCCAGCATATGAAAGTCTCACCCCCTGTCTCTGGAGACCAGGGTTCCAGATTTCATCCGGCAGTGTCTCCAGACACCAACATAACACAAGCCTAGGACAAGCAAATGCTAGATTTTTCAACTCTCCTTTTCTCCTTCTCTTTCAGACTCTCCTGTTCTCTTCGAGATCCTATCCCTCATTTTACCTGGTACCTTTCAAAGCCTTCTTCAGGCTCTATCAACTGCACTGTTCCAGAATACTGAAGGCAAAAGAGCCCGCCTCTGCTCGCCGATGTCTTCTCTACTTTGCAAAGCTGTATGCACTACAGAACTTTACCACAGTCAATCTGAATTGTACTGCTGCATTTTCTTGTATATTTTTGTTGTGAGTGCACAGTGCCTTCTGATTACCAGCAATAGTGAGACCGCAGCCACTTCCTTTTCCTCTGTTTGCAACTGGGCCACAATGATTTGAGAGGTTTGCTAGGCTACATGTCCTGCTGTGGGGTGTGCAGCTCTCCCTCCAGAGCCCTAACAGTCATCAGACCACACAATCATAGCCAAGAACCTTCACACTGTGAACTAAAATAAACCTTTCCTCTTTTTATTAAGATTTATTTTGTTTTTTTTTTTTATGTGTATGTGTGTATGCCTGGTTCTCTGCATGTACACCATGTGCAGAAGCCAGCAGAGACCTGACGACAATGTCAGATCCCTTAAAACTGGGTAATTGTGAACTGCCCATTATGGGTGCTGGGAACCTGGGACTGTGCAAGCACAGCAAGTGCTCTTAACCAATAAGCCACATCTCCATCCACCATCCCTCTTGATAAGCTGATCATATATCGGGTCTTTTGTTCTAGTAAGAAAACGCTGATTAATACAGTCAGCTCTTCCCTTCCAACAGTTATCCATTCAATTGTCAAGCCTTATCTGCTATCAGTTTTTGACCTACTATATTCCAGTAACTGCCCTCATCCAAAGACTACATGCTAAAATATGCAGGCATGAAAGTTGGGCTCCTTGCCTCCAGCATCTGAAGGACCAAGGTCTCTATGACTGCTAAGCCTACAGCTATTTCACTTCTCTCTCAGTTCAACTCTGTCTGCCTCACTTTCCTTACAACTGTCATCCTGGACAGCATTCCCAGTACACCCCCCCCACACACACACACACACACACGTCAACATTCAAATCTGGTTCACCATTAACCGGCCTTTGGCAAAGGTGAACCAAGGGCAGCATGCAAGGAGGCTCCTTTCTTTTTCAAACTGATTTTACTTATATGGAAGAACACAAGCAGTGTTGAGAACAGTTTTGAGCGGTTCAAACTAAAACAGTACTACCTTATACCATTTCTCTGGGCCCTGTTACTCCACCCCCGGAAGCAACAGCTGTCACGTTTTTCCTTCTGTCTGTATGCACATTCTAGACCCTTTCTGTCATCTCCTGACCAACTCTTTTTAGTACTAGACTTGCAGCTGATGAAAATTTCCCCACCTTTCTCATTCTCCATCCTCCCAATTAAGTTATATTGCAATGTTCTGTCAATAATTGGCATTTATGTTACTGGAACACTGCAAATTCATCCCCCTAGTAACCACAAGTTGGTACAAAGCTGGGGGTGTAGCTCACTAGCACTAAGTTAACACATGAGGCTCTTGGTTAAGGCTCCTGAAGTGTAAAAAGAAAAATTGGGGTAAGACAGAGGTATTATCTCTCACAGGTCCTCAACAAGACTACCCTCACTTCAGATACACTCCAATTTCAGAGGTCTCTGGCTAGCTTAATCGAATGACTATAATTTAGGGGATTTCCAGAATCTTCTCGAGTTGGATAATTCAAAATCCATAAAACTCAGCCTTCTAATTCACTTTACTGCAGAGCATACGAGTCAGTACCAACTAAAGGGCAGGCTGGGTAAGGTCTGAGAGGGGCTCACATGCAGTTTCCACCCTACCCCTGGGAAACAAATCACACAGCAAGGACATAGTCTTCCCAGTACATACATGGCTTTCCCAACCAGGACTTCCACTCAAGCTCAGCTTTCATCATAAATACACAGGAGGGAATCCACTCCTTAACTCTCCTCCAGAACCCAGCAACCAGCAGGTTGAGCCATTACCACTAAGCTCAAAGCTTCAACCTCTAATCACACAGTCTTCCTAGAATGAACAGTTCATTAGCCTCAACTACTGATGGCCCACCTATAAAATAATAAAAATATAAGAATATAGGTGCTCCAACAAGCCGCCCCTCAACCAAAGACAAGAGCTAGTCAAGGTCTTTGTTACACCATTATGGTTAAATATTCACAACTGAGCCAAATACTAGTCTGTAATTACACTGCACTTCCCAGTCAACCTTCTATCTTCCCTGAACACAAATTTGTCCCTCCCCCTTTATGTGGTCTTTTTAAATCCTCTTCCATCCCCCTGACAACCTCACTTTTGCTGCTGCTGCTTCTTTAAGACAGGGTTTCATGTAACCCCAACAGGCCTCACACTTGCTATATGGGAGGACTTTCTCCTCCTGGTGCTGAGATTGCAGGTATATACAGCCCTGCTTTAACAGCCTCTCGATACAATGCTCCACACAATCAACCCCATTCCAGACTTTAGGAAGGACCTG